CGTAGGTGGGATTTGAACCTTAGACCTGCCACTTGGAGGATGACAACCCAACCACTACACTAGGATCACCATCCTCATATATATATTTTATTATATTTTATATATTATATTTATTATTAGTAATTAGTTATTAGTTAGCCAATAGTTATATTATATAGAAAATAGATAAAAGAATTTTAATTAGTTATTAAAAATATGATACAACTATATGATACTAAATAAAATCTGTAATATTATCATTATTTTATAAACTCCAAATAATTCTACACAAGTTTCATATATTCTAATATCAAATTAATATGTTAAATAATACAGTATAAGAATTCTAAGTATTTTTGATATGAACTTCAAGTATTTCTGTATAAATCTTAAGTATCTTTACATAAATTTCAAATATTCTTATAGAATCCAAGTACTTTAACACAAACTTCAAATATTTTATATACAAATAACAAATAATATAAATAATATTATTAGTTACTTTTGCATAACTTTTACTATTTCAAATACAATATTATTTAATATTGTTTGAATCTTCACTATTCTAAGTATAGTATCAATTAATTTTATTTAAATCCTACTACTCTAAGTACAATATTAAGTAGCAAAATATCATATCTTTTTTTTATCTTTAAACTTTCAATATACAAATAATTACAATCCTTATCATATTCTACAATAGGAACTAAACCCAATCAAGCTTTCTATCAGACATTTTATTAAAAATATTCAAGTAATATTGCTTGAATTTCTACTATTTTTATTAGATAAAAAAATATATAAAAGATACTTTTTTCTTTTCTTTGCCAATTCTAAGTTCTTATACTTTAACCAAAACTTTTTTATCTTATTCTCTAACTGGTAAATATAATATTTCCTTTTTAGAATAAGTTCTACAAGCAAAATTATCAATGTGTGTTTGTTTAATAAAATTTAATCTATATTTTGTTACTATCTCAAACTATTTGCTTACTGTTATATAACAAAATAACCTATTATACTTTCATCTTGTATATATTTACAATAATAAATCACTGTACTGAGTGACCTTGTTACTTAGTTGTATTGTACCAAAAATACTACAACCCTGTAACAATAGAGATGCATAAAGTAAGTAAATATGATATTTATTACCAATAAACCCAAATTCATAAAAATCTACAAAATATAAACCAAAGTTTTTAATTTGTAATCAACAAACAAATATTTTACAAGAATCAAACAAATTTAAAAAATACACTAATATAACTGTTGTAACCCAAAAGTACTAATTTAACAACGAACTCAAATCTGAGTAATAAACATACTAAACACAGATTTACACAAAAAAACTGTATGAAGTCAGATCCAATAAACTAATTCCTATAAAATCTAATACGCGAGACATGAAAATATTAAGATCTATTATTAGCATAATAAATTAAACAACAATAAAAGTTCTTTATAACGTCTTGTTCGTCCTTTTCAGTTTTTTCTGGTTGACTATTTTAGACATTTAACGCTTATATACAATTACTATGATAATAAGTAATAAAATCTTTGCACTAAGCAAAGTCAGTCAGTTTTCAGATTATTTTGAGATTTTTTGTTGGTAAATATTGACGTTCAGTGTTGGCCGATGACCTATTTTTTTCCTATATAACCTTGGTCATATGATCATATGACTTTTTGGTCATAGTCATATAGTCATATTAAATGCTAATAAAAAAAATTTTACTATAATTCTTATTATATTAAAAAAGGTCATAAGTCATATCAATCTTAAATGACCTATGACAGGTCATAAAGGTCATATAGGTCATTTAAAGTCAGAGACCATCACTGTTGACAAACAGCAGAGACCGTCAATGTTACACGTGTATTAAAACTGGTGAGGGATTATATCCATCACAATTGAATCCAACATAAATAATTTAATTTGCGATTGATCACAGGCGAGAGGGATTCATTTTGGATCGGGCACTGTCCCTGACTGTTGACATTAGTTTAAAGAAGCGAAACATAGCTTAATTTTTTATTTGTAAAACGTTACAATCTCAATGAGATCACAGTTATGCATAAATTGGCCAATCAATGAGATTTTCGCGTTACACCTAACCGGTCGATCAGGAGATCGAATATATAATACATCAAAACATATAATACATCAAAACAAACCTTTTGACGCGATTACCTCTCAACGGATGTTTCGACTGTATCAATAGGTTGTATTATTTAATTATTTGTTTATTTGGAGGTTTCTTTTTTTTAACTAAAAAGTATATTTCAACTAGGGCGGTTCGAAGTTTTACTTAAGTTTTTTTGTATTGTTTTGGTTTAAGATCTACTGGTTCCGAAAAAGAAACAGGTTATGTACCTCTCTTGAACAGTTGAAAAACTTAAGATAGAATTTCACCTATAGTAATAAAAATTGCTAGATACCTCTAAACTCGCGAGGTAATAATAAATGAAGAGTCAAAGCTTCTTGATGAAATACTTAAAAGTATTAAAGATTCAAGACAGAACAACCTACTTTCAACATGGAAGAGATGGGTTGGGAAAACTTTATTCACCTTCCCAACCAAGAAGATACATCTTTACGTGGTGGTTGGGATAAGTAGGAGAAATAATCTTCGAAACCAAGTATCTCTAACATTTACGAATTATTCATTTTAAATTTAGATTAAAATTCAATTTTGTCTTATGAGTTTTATATGTAATAATTGTTAAATTTAATAAAGAGAAATTTCAAGTCTTTTGGTCACGTTTATGTAACTACTAAAAATGAATTAAAATTTTGTATAAAAGAATCGTATGAACGAAAATGTATAATCGAAATATTACGATAATCAAAATCTTATAAACTGACTTATTTAATACTAAATTTATTCTCAACACTTATAAATTATTTTTACGAATGTAATGTAAAATAACCAACATTTTCAGGAATTTGTTTATTACTATACTATCTATATTTAAGTTTTAAATGAAAAAACAGTTAATTGTGACTTTTTGTTTAAGATTTGATCTTGAATTACATATATCGATGTTGTTTTAAGACCTCAATAATCACGCGACGGATTGATTTTTCTAAACATCGATCCTATGATATCGACTAAAAAAACGGCGACGTTTTATGGGCTGAAGCCCTAATTATTAGGTCTTACACTTTTATAATAAATTCATAAAGAAAATAATCTTTGTTTCTCTTTATTCTTCGCACTTTGCCCTAAGTTGTCAAAAAGAACTGCTGCAAGTTCATGATCTTCCTTCCCAAGATATTTATGAGTCAAATTCATACTATTTGGTTCTTGATTCGATATAGCTGTATAGATAGAATTATTTTTTACTTTTATCCTATTTAATATGTTTGCTTACGATATGATGACATATTTATGACACAGGGTAATTGGGTAATTCTAATTTTCTAGCAGGAGGAACTGTCTATGTTAAAAAAATTATTTTACAATACCAGATCATTCCGCTACTACATGTTATGATTATAATCTCACACCATTTTATTATAACTATAACATGTACTAGCGGTATTGTAAAATAATTTTTTTATATATTACACACCGGGTGAAGGATCAGTCGTGTAACATCAACGGTTAATTTTCTAACTGATAAATTATTTTTTTATTAAAAGTCTTTTTTCATGTTGAATCAAAAATCAAACTGGGAACACGCTATTTCAAACATTTCGTAAAAGCTTGAAAGGCTTTAACTTCACTTCACTTAGCTCTGACAGATAAATTAATTCAATGAAATTAGTGAGATATTTTACAGCTTTACTAATTATCAATCGTTTGGGCTACATTTCTAGATGAAATATAATAATTTTTAAACCGTCAGCGAAACAATGGCCTACAATATATATCGATTTCGATTGGTGCATATTTCACGGATATTTTCCCAATCGAGTGATGAAATGATGAAATAATTAACGATAAAAAATTAGCATGTGAAAATGAAAATTAAAAGGTTAAATAACGTGAAAATATGCTACGTTTATCGTAACTAAACAAGTATGCATATCAGAAGGATTGCTGCGATAATATAAAGTCGGTTCTATTTTTGAGAGTAGGTGTATAGTTGGCCACTGCTTATAATACCCAAGGTCTTATCTAAGAATTTCATTTATAAAAGTGAATAATGCCAGTGGGTACTGTGTGAAGAGCGGGTATTATGTTTGGTGATATATCATTAACAATACGGTTGTACTCCTAGGTCTTATTCAAGAACCTTGATCATTGAGAAGTATTATTTTTAGGGCTACTGTAAGCAGTGGTCGATGGTATTTTTTAATCATAAGTTATCAGATATAATTAGAAAGATTTCCATTCGTTTGGGATAAACTTTTGTTTTTTTGTCTTTTTTTTTATTGGACAAAGCATAATAAAATGATTTTACACAAATTGGAGAATTTACATTTTACATGGTAGTTTATGAGAGGTCTCGAAATTGTTATAAATAATTTCTATTTATAACTCTATTCATATAAAATTTTGTACAATATATATAATTATTTAACTTACAAATTCACACTGTAAATAAAATTACTGTTGTGTTTCTGGGTAGAAGTAGAAAGCCAGAGCAATGATCGCATATGATGCCTATATAAATATTAGAATTTTGATACGTAAATCATATGGCAAATACATTAATTTTAAAGGAACAGTAATAATATTTTAGAGTTAGTAGGTCATATGAACACTGTCCGTAAATGCTGTCATAGACTTGAAGGAAAAATACTTACCAACAACATTGCACCTTCAAGCCAGTTCGATTGACCATCCTTTTAAAATTTAAGGTATCATTACTACGATTCAATAAAAACATATCAACGATAACAAAAATAAATTACCTGAATCAAATAATTAACAATCAAAACCGAAACCACCAAAACGCAAGTTTCAAATGTCTCAAAAAATAAAGTCAGTGGTTGATTAATTATCCAACCAATCAATATTAGGATAGGAGTCACTCCTAACGCGATTTGCATGCTTGATCCAAGAGCAACGACTTTTAGTGTAAAAATGATAGATGGTAATGAAATATGGTTGATATAATATAACTCGTCATTACATTAAAAAAAAGCAGAACTTACTGATACAAAGATCCATCTTATTTTTTAAAGCAAAAGTTACCGAACTCACGCTTGAAAAATTAATATACAAATTAACATGAGGAAAGGGGATAAACAGATATAAAATATTATTAGAAAAAAATACATACTGCTCAGCAGCGTTACCAACAATTGGAATCAAGACAATACCCACAAATGTAGTAGAAATGCCCCAATTTTCAACCAAACCATCTATACTATCAACGAGAAACTCTGCACATAAGGTAACAAAACCAGTTACAATGATCAAACTATCGGATAAAGTATTAGGATGATAAATTTTATTTTCAAATTTATGGTGAAAAAAAATAGAAATATAACTACTTACGTGGTTATTGATACAGCAAGTATAGTTTTTGGCTCCTCATCTTCATCTTTTACACCTTCATACTTTTCAAACAGAGTGAATTATTAAATATTAGAGTTAAATTTGAAGTTATAAGATGTATCCACTTACAAGATGTTTATGACTTATTAGTTGAAAGTAAATATACATGAAATATATAAGCAGCAAGAACATCGCTGTCCCATGACTTAAAGCCAACACCCCCTCTGCAGCAACCTTATCACTTTCGGTAGTGGAAGAATATGCGGCGGGAATAACCAGTGAGATCATTGTCAACGCCAAAAGAGATGACGATGTTTGCGCTGCAGTAATATTAAATTCCTGTTCTTTATACCTATAATAATGTAATGAATAATTATAAAACGTAAAACTGCATAAACGAATAAAAATAAACGTTAACATTAATTTACTTAAGGCCTCCAAGCAAAAAACAAAATCCTTGGACCTGAAATTATAACAAAATTAATGCTAACTACATATATGTAATAAAAAAATTACTATTAACAATAATTTATACCAGGAGCAAGTTCGATAAAATCGAGCCCAAAATTGATGCTGTTTAAAAAATTCGATTATAGCGCACTTTCGTTTTTAACGTTTTTAATGTATTAATTTAGTTTTAAATAACTATACCTTGAACAACACGAATCAACCCTTCATCAAGTGCGATAATAGATATGATAAGTTCAATTGCATTCCCAAATGTAGCACTTAACAATCCACCCACTGTCGGAGAGGTTTTCATGGCAATTTCCTCGGTTGCTACGGAAAAGTACAACAATGTTACACTGTCGACAACTTCTTTTATAAGTCAAACACGAATTAATTACTTACCCATAGTAAGCAAACCCGCTAAAGGAATAATAGCCAAAAAATTTAAAAAGAAAGTAAGGGTGTCTGACCAAAGTAGAAAATGGCTTATGACCCCAAGGGGGATAAAAATAAGAAGAAAATTAAAATAAGAATGTCCCGCAAATGCTTTTAATGAACTAGAAAATGTAGGCTCATGCTTGACCAAAGATTCTTGTGCTTCTGACATATTTTTTTATTATTTAAATTTTGGGTTTGGTTGATTTCGGTAAGAAATTTTCGTTGCGAGTTCAAAAAAAAAGAAGGCGTCATTGTCTAAATAACGAGATTATTTATGATTTGAGAACAAAAACAAATATTTCTTTTCATCCTAGAGGTTCAAAGCCACCTTACCAAAGCTCTGGTAATTTATAAGACATATAGCCAGTAAATTGCTATGAGCGTACTTAGTGGATCATGCCATTTGGTAGACACGCTCATAGTAAATTGCCGGGTAATGTCGTTGTTAAATGCTACGCGTCAATAGTATAAAGTTTAATAGAATGCTATGCGATAATATATAAACTTTAATATTGCCATTTCTGGGTCTCTTCAGGAACTAGAAATCAACATATCAAATTTACAGCCAGAAAAAACTATCATGGATTCTACTGACTATATAATCGTTTTTATAGGAAATAATTCTCGTTATTAACTGTCCCCAGTAATTATACATTATCTCAAGTAGACTATAATATTGCCATGGCTGAGTTGACTTAAACGTATTATTTATTTGTTTTCATGATTGGCTGTGAAGGATTCCTTTGCAAACCATCAAGAAATTGTATTTTACGCCTCAGGTCTTGTCAAATTATCCAATGGGCGGATTCAACCAATTTGATTTGAAATTTTTGGGTGAATCAGCTGGTTACGAACGTTTAGCCGCAGCAGGAAAGAACTTAACTACCCAACAGAACCCCGAGCTATTCTTAAGTAGGTCAAAGGCAAAAATATCGATTTTTATTTGACAAAATATTTATGGCCAAAAATATACTAGGAACCGGAAACGTGTTTATTTTAGTATGAGCGGACTTCAGCCCCTGAACAATCTGGTCGTGTATATCGCTTTTTCAGGGGCGTTACTGAAAGGAAGTGCCAAAACTACTTTTTTTAATATTTATATTATAAATGAATTAAAAATCGTAATTTCAGCTCCTCTGCTTCGCTCCGGACAACCAGCTGATATAACGTGATATAACGTGATCAGTAATTGTGATTATATTACTATAATTTACAATATACTTTCAAAACACTATTCAATAACATTATACTTTCCTAATCCAAAGAAAATCGTAAGTGTTATAAATATTTTAAAGAACCACCAGAAAAAATATCTTTTGGATGTAAAGCAGGGACTAATTCATAAACATAATGCAAAGTGATTATTTGAATAAACACATCAAGTTTATCACAATTTTCCTTGAATGTTTAAATAGAAAATTGCAATTATGCCTCATAGTTTATGGAAATCTCGACATTTGTCCTCTTCTTAGCAGTGTCAATAACATTTGTGATATTTGTCAATTAGCGTAACCTTCAATACGTATTGAGTTATTATTATCGATAATTTATGTGCATGTCTGATATGCATACATTGGTTCGATTATAAAGACCTGTATGCACGTATGTATGTACGTATTTATATATAAAATCAATAATTCTATCAACTACGTATTCTTTTGGCAGAATTTATTGCAAAAGAACTAAGGGAATTTTAACTCAATGGATGATTTAAAATTACCAACCCATATAATGATATTGTTTTACCAAATGCATGGGAGATTGAAAATAAATCACCATTTATTAGCATAGATTCAAGTGGACTTAAAGTGAGTTATGCAGGTAAGATAATTAACATACATTAAAACATACTATTGTCTCAAATTGATGAGAGTTAGTCATCGATAGTTAACTAATTTATCAAAAAACTCTTAAAGATCCTGATAATAAAGCTATTAGAATTCAAGCTAATCATTCAATTCCTTTATTTAGATGTATTAATTTTATCAAAACTTTTTCAACCAACTAAATTTTATTTTATTTTCTTTGATGCCTTTAATGTCACATATCAAAAATTTTTTACTTATATTTCTTCTCATCTTAGTAGACTAAGTTAAATATTTGACTTAAAGTTTTTTTACCTTACTGATTTAGATAGATAGAATTTAAATTTTATTATTATTTTATTTTTTATTTTTTAAAATTTATGCAGTTATGCTAGTACTTTATTAAGATTATTAAAACTACATATATATAATTATATAGAATTTCCTAATGTTTAAGTCTAATATTATTTAGTTACTCTAATAGTACCAAAGTGCAACCTGTTATATTATTTTAGTTGGAAATAAACTGCTTGTTTAACTATTAAAAGTTATGCCAAAAAGGGTTTTTCTTTTTTGTAGCAAGCATATTAATTTTTTTCAAGCCTTTTTTCTTATTCAGTCTGCTTTTTTTAATTTTTTTTTTTTTGTTATTTTGATCTTTTTTTATCTTGTTTAAGAATCTTTTTTCATTTTATTTGTTATATTAGTTTTTTTCTTATTCTTGCATTCTTTTATAGAAAATATTTTATATTTGATTATAAAATATATTTATATTATTCTTGTTACTGTATTGCTTATTTGTTTAAAAGCTATTCAAGTTTTTTTTAATTTCATTATAGTAAATCTTTTTATTAGTACTTTTCTGTTTATAATTTTTTTTTATTTTTTTAAATTATGATTTATATAATATTTATAGTAAAATTTTATTTTTTTATTTTTTTTGAACTTATTTTGTATTATTGTTATTAATACTTTTTGTATTTATTTTTACAAGTTTCTTTGTTTATTACAACTTGTTATATATATTTAAATTTTTTTTATTGCTTTGACAGACCTGACATTTTGTTATTATATAAACTTCTAGTATTTTTTTGCTTAGCTCTTTTAACATTAGTAAATTTTCTATTATATACTTAATCTCTATAGTTTTTCTTTTTTTTTAGGCATTAAGACAAGTAATTGTAACTCAGAAGTTTATTGATAATTAGTTAGCATATAACTATTGTGTATAACAATTACAGAAGCAATCATAGAAAGAGTGTACAACTAGTTACTTGTACAACTTTAGTTATTGTCTATTTTAAGTAGTTCATCTAAAGGTTCTATACTAGTTGCCATACCTAGAACCTATTTGTAAGTTCTTTATTTAAACACTCTAGTTTCCATATCCACCTCTATCCTATCAACTGCAGTGTTAATCTGCAAATATATCATAGTTATTAAGTCATATTTAACTTTATACTAAGTTCATTAAAGCCTTCTATATCTTATACTTATAGCTAACCTAGTACCACTCTGGTCTAGACCATCACTTGCAGTTAGAACTAAGCATTAAACTGCTATACCTTTGTAAAGTTTACTAAGACCCTAATACCTTCCTTTTCTAATTTTCACCTTCTATTTCTGAACTTACAAAACCTACAAAACTTCACAAACTACCAATCCAGATAACCCAGTATGGTATCTTAAGATTCTTTTTCTCTAGTAATTTCTGATAGCCTGATTGGTATGTACTCTTCTACACATGTTGTCATTCAATCTATTCTAATAATCTTAATAATTCTTTTTTGAAACCTTTTGATAGTTTAATAGTATTATTGAAAGTTCATATTATCTTTTTATTTGAGATTTCCAAGTAGGTTTTCATGTTTCAATTTCTTAATGTTATGCACCTAATGGTCTTATCATAGGTTTGTACTAAAGTCTTATATAACACCGGTTATTAATATTCTTCTATATATATGTAATGTTACACTTCACATAAATACTCCAAGCTTCTATTCAAGATAGTGTTTCTAAGATTACAAATTATCTCTTCTGCCAACTAATTAACAAGACACAGTTATCATAACACAGATATAATATCCAAATTTCACTGTTCATAAGATTTGAACATTAGACCTGCCACTTGGAAGTTGACAACCTGTCTATTTCACTAGATTATTACACCTCTCTCTATAGTTTTTCTTATATTTAATTTTTTTGAAATATAGTATATTTTTTTTGTTTTACTAATTTTTTTTCAAAATTTTAACTAATTATAAAGTATGTATTCTGTTTATAATTCTAATATTGTAATTAGCTTTATTTTTCTTTAATTATTTTTATTTTGATGTTTACAATTATTTTACAAAGAAATCTTGTTAGTATATTGATCTTTTTGTTTTCTTATTTTAGATAATACTCTATTTTATTGTATTTAAGCTTCTTTATATAAATTATTTTTTTATAATTAGTTTCTTTTTTATAAAAAAATTTGTTTTATTATTTTACTTGTTTTTAATATAACTCTTAAATTTAATTAGCCTTATTTTAGTATTTTTTTTTAACTAAAGTTGCAATATAGTATTACAAATTAGCAAAAATTTTTAGTCAATTAGTTGGTTATTATTTTTTTAATTAGTTGCAAATAATCAATTAGTTATAACTAATCAATTAATTGATTAATTAATTAGTTGCAACTAGTTAATTAATTAATTAATTAGTTACAACTAATTTATTAAATAAATAAATAATTTTTTAATTAATTCTTTATAACTAATTAATTAATTCTCTAATCAATTAGTTGCAACTAATTAATTAATTGATTAATTAATCAATTAGTTGATATCTAAAAAATTTAGTTGATTAGTTGTTTTTTTTAAAAAATATTAAGGTAAGTACTTGTAATCTAGGATTTTATTAATAGTATATTTGGCTAATAGTTGTATTACAATCACAAGAGACAATTATAAAAAAAGTGTAACAACTACTACTTATACAACTTTAGTTATTGTCTAATCTAAGTAGTCTACTTGAAGGTTCTATACTAGTTGCCATATTTGAAACTTGCTTGTAGATTTTCTATTTAAGCACTTTAGTTTCTTAGTTGATTAGTTGTTAACTAACCAACTAATTAATTAATTTAGATTTTAATTTTATTATTATCTACAATATTTATTATTTATATTATAATTTTTTAAAAAAATTTTCTAATTTCTTATACTTGTAATATTTTATTAATATTTTTTAATATAGTGTACCTGTTTGTATAAAGTTCTATACTTTTTTTTTAGTATAATTAAGATTGCTAATTATATTGTTGTTAATTCTATTATTGTTTCTAAAGATCATTACTCTAGTTTTAATATAACTTTTTTTTGCTTAGTCATATCTTTTATCTATTTATATTTATTCTTTTCTATACTATCTTTTTTATCTTTCTTTATATAATGATCTGTTTATATAAAATATATATTTATTTTTATTGTTTTTATTTCTTAGAAAAATTTTTAATAAATAATTTGCAAACTTATTATCTAATTTTTGTCTTTTATTTAATTCTAGTTTTAATTTTTTTATTTGGTTTAATTATACTAGTTTTTTTTTTTTCTATTTATCTATTGTTCTATTTTTTATTATTTAATCTATTATTGTATTAATCTTGTTTTATCTTTTTTATTATTGTGTCTAAGATAATTTTATATTGTAATCTTATTTATCTCTTGTATTTGTTTACTATTTGTTCTAGTCTGTTTTTGTAATTTTTGTATTTGTTTATCTTTGTAGTTATTCTTTTTTTTTTTATATTAGCTAATATACTACTAAAATCTTTTTTTTTATCACTTTATCTAATTACTAATTATGTTTTTTTTTTCTTAAGCAGTCATGCTAGTGCTTTATTAAGATTTTAAAATTACATTTGTAATTATATAAATATCCTTAACAACTAAGCTCAGCATTATCTGACTATCCTAATAGTATTTAAGTGCAACCTGCTGCATTACTTCAAGCAAAAGTAAGCCATTCATCTGACTACTTAAAGTTCATAATAAAAGGGTCTTTTCCCTTTAATAACAAGCTTTAAAATTGTTTTCTGTACTTATTTTCTAATTTGTTTTTCTTTTTCTTTTGCTTTTTTTTTTTCTTCTATTACTTGCTGATTTGGTTTTTCTTTTTTACTTGGTGCTTTTTTTTCTTTTTCTTTTCTTTTTTTTATCC